TGCGTGCGTGCATGCATGCATGCATGCATGCAGTGCGGGCGGTGCGGGCGGGCGGGCGGGCGGGCGGGCGGGCGGGCGGGCGGGCGGGCGTGCGTGTGTGCATACTGTTGTGTCTGTTTTTGCGCTCTGCTTTTATCTTTTGCATTTGCGTATAAAATAACACATACAACAGTCGACGTGAGTGTATCTGGCGCACCCAGGCCTCTGCAAACCAAGCCACCTTCCACCATGGAGAACACCTCCCAGTGCGGCCAGCCGTGAAGCTCAAGGCAGCCATCCTCGTGCAGCTTCCGCCGGTCTTCGTGCGTGCGTGCGTGCGTGCGTGCGTGCGTGCATGCATGCATGCATGCATGCAGTGCGGGCGGTGCGGGCGGGCGGGCGGGCGGGCGGGCGGGCGGGCGGGCGGGCGGGCGTGCGTGTGTGCATACTGTTGTGTCTGTTTTTGCGCTCTGCTTTTATCTTTTGCATTTGCGTATAAAATAACACATACAACAGTCGACGTGAGTGTATCTGGCGCACCCAGGCCTCTGCAAACCAAGCCACCTTCCACCATGGAGAACACCTCCCAGTGCGGCCAGCCGTGAAGCTCAAGGCAGCCATCCTCGTGCAGCTTCCGCCGGTCTTCGTCCCCGAAGCAAACCATGAGCGATGGGAATTTGGATAGCGATGGCTAGCCTGAGCCAAAAGCCCGAAAACGAAAGTGGATTGCCTTCGATGGGAAGGTGCTACAGTCAGATGGATTCAAACACAATGCTTTGGCACTTCCAACAGGAAGTTAGCTCAAGGCATGTTCACCCACCGGCAACTTCAATTCTAATCCTGCCCCCTACGCAGCAACATTGGAGTGTGCTGCAGGAAAGCAGCCTTCCCCAAAAAAGGCTGGCGCCTGAAAAAGATGAACCCCCGAAGAAAAAGAGTTGGATTCAACCCATGCGGCCGCTTTTCTCCAATCCCCTTCTCTATGCGCAGGCTGACGCGACTTTTCCTTGCTGTGACTCCACCGGCGTGGCCCAGTCTCGAGCTACAGCGCGGCCTCAAGCACTCCAAGCCCCAAGCCAAGCCACTGGAGAAGAGTAGCCTTCTGGTGGATGAAACTCGGATATCGATGGTTACTCAAAGATAGTGCGAGCTCACATCATGCTTCTGTGCGTGTGTGTGCGTGTCTTTGTTCCGCTGGTCTGACTTCAAGTGGCCCCACGCCCTCTTCGTTCAAGCCCGGAAAAGGCACAAGTGCATGACAATATGTGCCCCTGGCCACTGGACATGGAGAAATCTCTGGACACTCCTCCCAGTTTATCTGTCAGGGCCCAGGCATGGAGAGACGAGCCATCAGGAGTCGGAACTGAATGAAACCTGGCAGAATGGGGGGCAGCAAAAAAGCATACCTACCAGTGAATAAGAACAAAAGAAAAGGACTATCACTCATCCACAATCAGAGTCTATATTTAGGAGTTACTATAATAATGAAATAATCACCACCGGTAATCAAACATATTGGCAGCGCCTCTTCGGTGACTCAGCTTTGGAATGTAGGCCTGAAAGTTCAACTGTTCCCCTCGACCCGCCGGCAGCGCGAAGCTGCGAGGCCAGTCAAACAGGCTACGGGCGGCGAGGCCCTGGGATGCACCCTGAAATCGGGATTGCTAGGGTCCAGGTTTCTCAGGAAGCGGCCTCTCCGTCCAGCCTCTTTTCTTCCATGCTCTCTACAAGAATGAGGAGCTTCGCAAAAGCTTGAGGGTCAAAGAACTGTGAACCCATGCTGGCCTTGCCGCAAACCGTAGTGGTATGAGAAATCCGCGCAGCCAAACCTTGCAAACCTGCAACTTGTGTTTTGGTTGTTGCAAGTTTGTGTTTTGTTTGGTGTGTGTGTGTGTTGCTGTCAAAACTGCCTGGCATTATTTCAAGAGTCTAAATTGTCGCGCCTTGCTCGCAAAGGGCCACAAACTCCAAGTGGCAAAAAATTGCAGAAACATCGCACCTAGAATTCCACATGGCAAACAAAAGTGCAGAACAAATGCAAAAAAAAAGCAGGAAACGTGTGGGAAAAGGGAAAGTGCGCCTAGAATTTCAAATGGCAGAAAGCATGCAGAAACATTGCAGAGCACTTGCAGAAATGTGAGTCACAAATGCAAACAAATGCAGAACAAATGTAGAGCAAAATGCAGACAAATCGCACCTAGAACTCCAAATGGCAGAACATGCAGCAAAATGAGGACAAATGCAGAAAAATCAGCCGCGACTCCAAACAGAATCATGGTGAAACATGAACTCCGAACAAAAACTGGCACCAATCTCCGGCTCGAAAGGGAGAAAGCCTAGGCGAATCCCTGGCCCCCGCCCTTCACAGGTTTCAGGCCTCGGCAACTCCAACACAACGGCAAATTAGTTGCTTTTACTGGGCCCTGGCTTTGGCTACGAAAGCCTTGCAACTGCGGTGCATCATGCTACCAATCGACTATAAGAATTGTTGTCGAGCATACGACATATTGTGTCAAACAAGGGAGTGCCTTTGGCGATAATTCGAAGAAGACATCGAACCAGGCATACATGGGCCCGTTTCTTTTGTGGGTACCCATCATTTGGGGTTGTTGAAAGGGAACTCAAGGAAGACCAACAATTTTGAGTCCCCCTATGAGAAAACCCCACAGCCAGAACCTCACGCCTGCTAGATGGCGGCCTTCGACTTGGGCCTCAGGCACTTGGCTTGGCCAGAAAAATCTCTTCTGCTTCTGCTTGGTGTGCCAAGCCTCAAAGTGGGCCATAATTTGGACCACTGACTTCATTCTCTGGCCCACTAATTCTGCTTCATGGTCTGTTTTGGCCCCTGCATACCACAATTTGGAAACGACATGCTGAAATGTGTAGCCCCGGCAAAATATGGGGGAGGCGCCTGCATTCTCGAGCCCCAAAGTCGGAAAAATACCTTGGCACATGGTTGATGCCTTCAGACCTGGACATGTTGAGATTTTGAAGCCCCTTGGAACACCTGATCAATAGTATGGCCCCCAAATAGGGTGTCCTTACACTATGCCTTGCCTCAAGTGCCCTGCAACCAGAAATCAAAATGACTCGGCCCAGGCGCCAGGCAGTTCAAGAGCTTTGGTCCAACGTAGACTTGTCGAACAGCTCAGCTCGCTGAAAAGTACTCAGGGCTGCTTATTCCAGGTCACACTGGTGTCTATCATTCGGTGTCATTCAACGCACCTTTGGATGTGTGTGTGTGTGTGTTTTGACAGATTCTCTGCTATCAGACTTCAAGGTACCGGTCTGCCAAGAGCAGCCAAGAACGGAGAGTCTAACGGGGCCGGCATCATCAACAATGAGCTCTATGGCCGAGCAAATAGCCTAGCAGCAGCAGTGGCTCTTCAGGGCATATTCACCCCGAGTCCAGGAGTGTGCATGTTGCCAAACGAAAATCAATGCCACTGCCAGAGTGTGTGTGTGTGTGTAACCATTGGATCACTTGGACACTGCTGCAGCGGGACACCGCAGGAGCCTTTCAAAGAAGGCTGCAGAATCCGCAAGTTCGCTGCCAGGTGAAGTCCCACTCCAAACAAACAGACAGACACCTCCAAATTATGATTTGCCTTCCGAGGGACCGACTCGGCCTTAGGACTTCACCGCGCCACATCTTCTGGCTTCGGGCAGAAAAAAACTGGGAGCGTCATGGTGTATTTTGCCTGAATGGTAAATGACATATCACTGCCAAATGCACCATGCACTTCCCTCTTGCGGTATGACTGGACAAAGGCAACAGCAGGATGGGACAGCAATTTTATTCTGCTTTCCACTGTGGCCTTTGTACGGATGTCCGAGAAGCAAAGCCTCCAAACTGGACCAGCCCCCAAAAGGGCACCCATGGGAACATGCACTCGGCGAGCGAGTGACTGGCTGGGCGTGGGGTCCGTGATAGCAGCCCGCAGGGGCTCAACAGCAGAGTGCTTGAGGTGCTGACAGCAACAATTCCGGGGATCCAATGTGGGTTATCGCTGTTTTTTTTGTGTCAACGTCTGATCAACTATCTGAAGGGACCTTTCACAAACATAGGATACAAAAGCCCCGCTGCAAAATCTTGCACAAGCTAGTCTCAATGGCTGACTGATGTTCGTGCCATCACTCAAACCTTTGCAAGTTGCTGTGCGCCAGCACCTATCAGTTTGTACTGGTTGTACAGATTCTACTCCTCACTTTGCTGCCACATCTTATGGTGAGCCCAACATGGTTGCCTAAACACCAGATGCTTTTCAAAGCGGCATAACTGCCCGTAGCATACACATTCCCCAAATGGTGAGGCAGCTTGGTGCATGGAGCGCCAGAGCGGCAGGCAAACTCTCGGCCACGGGGACTTTGGCCACTTCTGCTCACTAGATACCGAGATCAGCCCCATGTCGCAAAAGAAGACAGGAAAACACAACCCAGCAACAACTGCCCAAAAAGAACAAGTTGATGCAGTCGCCAATCCGCTATGAAACTTCCCTTCGTGACAAGCGGTTGTTGTCTCCAACCATCAAGACCTCGTGGACTCACCAAAGGAAGTTTAGTAGTACGAACACCAAGTGAAAGGTAGTTTCGCACACAGGTAAGATGGAGAAAGAATGAAGGAAATAATGAATACATGCGAGAAAACATGCGTGGGCGGAGAGATGAACAAAGAATGAGCACATGCGAGAACACATGCGTGGGCGCGTGGCGGAGGAATAGAAATAACGAAAAAAGAGTAAGCCTCTGCGCGTGTGGCGGAGGAACAGAAATCACAGGGTTAGGTACAGATTTCGTGGCAGGTGCAGCACTTTCGCAAGGTCAGGTACAGATTTCGTGGCAAACGCCGCAATTTCGCAAGGTCATGTACAGATTGCGTGGCAGGCACAGCACTTTCGCAAGGTTAGGTACAGATTTCGTGGAAGGCACAGGACTTCTTTCACCAGGTCAATAGATAGAGATAGATTAGATGGATGGATGGATGGATGGATGGATGGATGGATGGATGGATGGATAGATAGATAGGTGGGTGGGTGGGTGGGTGGGTGGGTTGGTGGGTGGGTGGGTGGGTCGGTGGGTGGGTCGGTGGGTGGGTGGATGGAGGGATGGATTAGATAGTTAGATAGATAGATAGACAGATTACATAGAGAGAGTAGATGGTTAGATAGATAGATAGATAGATAGATAGATAGATAGATGGATGGATGGACAGATAGATAGATAGGTAGACAGATAGATAAATAAGATCGATAGATAAATAGCCGCGAGAGAGATATATATATATATATCGAATAACGAGATAGATTTGTTGGATGGGTAGTTAGATAGATACACACGTAGATAGATCGAGCACGAATAGGTAGGTAGAGGGAGCAAGAGATGGATAGATAGATATATATATATATATATCTAGAGAGATAGATGCATAGATAGATAGATAGATAGATAGATAGATAGATAGATAGATAGATAGATAGATAGATAGATAGATAGGTGAATAGGGAGATCAATATGCAAATAGAAAGAAAGAAAGACAGAAAGAAAGAAGGAAGGAAGGAAGGAAAGAAACAAAGAGAAAACTCGAAAAGAAAGGAAATAAAATAAGAGAAATATGTATATCCCAGAAAGAAAGAAAGAAAGAAAGAAAGAAAGAAAGAAAGAAAAGAAGCAATGGAAAGAAATAGTGCTTATGTTCACTAGCA